CTTACTTTTGGAAGGGAGTATGACGATCTCGAAGCAAGTCTGGTGTTATAATTATGTTTCTGGCTTACTAGTGCAAAATACTCATCAAATACGTGAGGAAGTCGACCTGTATGAAAGTCATACATAAACAGTGCATTATGATAAAAATAAGGTCATGAAACTTAAGAAAACGAAGTTGAATGAAGAGAGGGTTAGTATGATCCTGATAGTTAGAAAATGTTATTAAACGAATAATCTTTTTTTGTAGGATAGCTAATGGATTCACTGTTGTATTGTACGTGTTGCCCCAAGCAACTAGAGCGTATGTAAGAAATGGATAGATAAGTGAATAATATAAATTAATAAGAATATCCAAGGTCACAAAATTACGTATTTTTGAGATAGCTCCAATATTGCGCTTTATCTTTTTGGAGATTTCTAAAACCTGATTCCTAAAGTTTAGGCATAGGTCTCCCGAAAAGGTCTTTTATTTTAAAAAAAATTCATACAATTTGCCTTAAAATGCAATGCTTTGACATGCAATGCTTCAATGTACAGCAAAACCTCTATAATTTGTATTACATGAAGTACGTGCAACATCACAATAGCGTCACAGAATACTACACGGCAAAAAACGCTCAGGTTGATGCAATACTGATGAAAACAGGATTGAACAATGTTTTGCTGCCCACATTGTTCATAGCTGTCAACAATACTGAACAGTATTGTTACACCCGATTCAGGCTCAACAACATTGTTCAATATTGTTGACAAGTGTGAACAACATGAGCAGCAAAACATTGTTCAGTCCTGTTGAGCAACGGACTCGGCGTTTTTTGCCGTGTACACAGAAGTCCATCTCCATTGTTTTTAGCGTAAGCTCTATTCGTCATGATTCGTCACTCAGCAAGAACCGTAAACAGAAGCAGTCCCCCTCCTGGAAATACTAAAAATGGCGTATGTCCAGGGGGGTGACTGCTTCTGCTTACGGTACTTGCTGAGTGACGAATCATGACGAATAGAGCTTACGCTAAAAACAATGGAGACGGCCTTCTGTGTAGTATTCTGTGATAGCGTTGTGTCATTATGTATATATATCCCCAAGGTTGGCAAGTAAATACAAATTTAAAACTGTATACACAAATTTAATGACGAAAAAACTCGTACATAAACATCGAAATTCATTAAAAAAACTAACTCACTATGGTAAGAAATAACTGTAATACTTCTATATTGTGTTTTTTTCTTCTCTCATCACTTTTAAACGAGTTAATTTTGCGAAAATTCCGAGGAAAATGGCTCAATTTGGTCAAAACTATGCGGGATGACTGCTCCCAGCGTTACGTCGCAAAATAAAGCTCTCTGATTTGCTGAAAATGTTTAAAATTTCAAAAACACTCTCCGATTGGCTGGCTGAAATTTACCAGCGAATCAGAGAGCTTTATTTTGTGACGTAACGCCGGGAGCCATCATCCCGCATAGTTTTGATCAAATTGAGTTACGAATTTGATGAATTTTCGTCGGAATTTTCGCAAAATTAACTCGTTTAAAGTGGCTCCCTAGGGTTTTATTTCCGGGGGTTACTCTTCGTATATATGTATACTAAAACTTGTGTGACTTCGAACGAACGTTGTGTTTTTATATGGAACTCTTTTGAAACAAAAGTGTGAACTTTGCTTTAGTTGAAAGCATAAAAAGAGTTCTAAAAGATAAAACGATACTTGGATGTGATGTTTCAAAAGAAGATAATGTAAACTTGTTTTTTTCAAGCGGTATTCTGGAAGTTTTTTGAACCGCCGTACGCGAGGTTCGATCGCGAACATTGGGATATGATATAAAGTTTCCTCAAGAATTTGCAGTGTTTTCTCCACAATCTAGCAGCACTTATGACAATAAAGATGACTTAAATAATGAGCCCTCTACTGGTGAAATGAGCAGGGCCGAAACTCCAAACATACCACCATAAAAACTGAAATTTGAACGGGCATTTTGCGAAAACATCCGACGTATGTACTAACTCGCACGGGACGAATTTTGACAAACATTTTTCAAATTAATACCAAGAAATCATAACTAATAATTACCTAAATACCTTTGCCAATTTTACATGTATAATCCACGCTTAGTTGACCAATAACCGACACAGTTATAAACAGTATATCAAACATAATTCGTATTTTGTGATTTCAAAAAAGTCATGTCTTGTTGTTTTATGCAGAATGCCTGTACACGTCAGTTGGGGTATTAAATTGTTCGCGTAAAAATCTAGTAAAATTGCGAAAATTAATCCCAAATTTCTCCGTTTTCCTTCGGTAAAATTTTTTAAACCTTTGCACATTTTTTAGTACCGGCACAGCAAGTGCAATATCCTTTTTTAAAAAAATTAAATCGAAGGGAAAATTTTTAATATTGATTTTTGACGTTTTTTCAATTTTCTAAGAAACGTATCGATTTAATTTTTTTAAATTGAGGGAAAAAAATCATTATAGAAGTATGACCTTTTCTGCAAAGTTTTAAAAAATTTCACCGAAGGGAATTTTTAAAATGACCCGAAAAAGACAAATTTTGGGCTTTATTCTAAGCATGTTGTTGCCATGACAACAGATTTTTAACACAAAAGTTGCAATTTGTAATGTTCAGGAGAACATTGTCAATGTGTCCAATAAATTTCGTTTTTATGTCATGTAACGTGAAGAAACAGGAGTCTCCTGAATACTATAGTATAGTAAATTAAAAAACCCTACAATCGCGTGCAAAAATTGTTGAGACAAGCAGTTTATTGGCCCTCTCCCTCTTGTAACAATGGTTTTGGCCCCCTCCCCCTTGTGCAATGTTGTTAAAACGATTTTGAGGTCAGGGCTTATCAAATAATATGTTTTCAACATTGTTAGTGGGGGGAGGGGGGCACGCACGTGAAAAAAATCACCAAAATGTGAAGAGTCTCATTATTTTTGCACGCGATTGTCTATGTAGTTTCGAGTAATGATAATTCTAATACGGTTATTTCGATTTGCTGTAAATAAGAAGCATAACAGCCTTTGCTTACTGTTACTATGTGTTTGGCGTGTGCCTAAGGATTTTCCCTACAGTGTGTAAAATTGTGACGTCACATTGACGTTATCGTGACGTCATAAATGACCGTAAATAGTTCATAAATTGAACGCGCCCGCTTGAGTATGAAAACAGTTCGGACAAGATGCCATTGACAAGCAGATCACGTCAGAAAAGTTTGAACAATTTTCCGAAAGAGTTAAAAGCACGACGATGAATTTGTCAAAAAGTACTATGGACTGAATTATTATATCGATGAACAAGCGTGTTGCAATGATCAGTGAGAAACGGAGGAGAACAATTGAAGTATTACATTTATTAAGTGTTTCTATATTACAATGTTTTTCCTTGTTTATACCGTTTATATTGGCAGAGCCTTTGACTTCAATTACTGTTTTAGATGCTTAATAGTGACGAATGTATTAATTAAGTACACACTTCTACCATGCATATTCAATACTAAGTACTATGCGAAAACTCAACGATTTATTGCCTCCGCGTGAAAATTATTTTGAAGACCTTATACATGCATGCAAACTAAATAGAACTCAATTTCAACACGTTACGCACACGTTACGCCACACGTTACGCCTTTCAGTATATAATAATCTATAGAAAGCTGACATGTTACACACGTTACGCCTAATATATTAAAGGTAGACCTATTCTACCGTGTAGACGGTGCGTAACGTGTGCGTAACGTGTGATCTATGATTATATATTTCTTTGAGAGTAAATGTGCAATGATGGCTGCATGAAAAAAGTTAAAACTGTTCATCCAAAAACACCATTGCGTCAAAACAGCGTGGGTACCGAGACAGGTCTTTCTGCTCCGCCTGCGGAATCTTCCGGGTAAAATCAAAGACCTTCCACCAAACAAACCAGATAATTTCTGTTTCGCGTTCGTCAATCTGTCCGTTTCTGCCGTAGTAGAAAATTTGCGACGCTTAAAGTTGCAAAAATTGGATGTCAGAGTCCAGATTGAAAAAAAGCTTAGAACAGGAGACATTTAGGATCCAATAAGCTGTTCAAAACGGTTGCTTACTCGTACCCAGTCCCCCGTTCTGCGTCTCTTGAGTCCATTTTTGTGCGAGTTTCGCACGAAAACTAGATCACTGGGCTTAAAGCGCGAAAAATGAAAATTTTGCCCGAGATAGCGTTAAGTTAAATTTTTGGCAGAAATTTAATTAAGTTTGGGACCATAAAGAGGCCTTTGCTAAGACAATCGCGTGCAAAAATTGTTGAGACAAGCAGTTTATTGGCCCTCTCCCTCCTGTAACAATGGTTTTGGCCCCCTCCCCCTTGTGCAATGTTGTTAAAACGATTTTGAGGTCAGGGCTTATCAAATAATATGTTTTCAACATTGTTAGTGGGGGGAGGGGGGCACGCACGTGAAAAAAATCACCAAAATGTGAAGAGTCTCATTATTTTTGCACGCGATTGTCTATGTAGTTTCGAGTAATGATAATTCTAATACGGTTATTTCGCTTTGTTGTAAATAAGAAGCATAACAGCCTTTGCTTACTGTTACTATGTGTTTTGTGTGTGCCTAAGGATTTTCCCTACAGTGTGTAAAATTTTGACGTCACAATGATGTCATCGTGACGTCATAAACGACCATAAATAGTTCATAAATTGAACGCGTCCCGCTTGAGTATCAAAACAGTTAGGACAAGATGCCACTGACAAGCAGATCACGTCAGAAAAGTTTGAACAATTTTCCGAAAGAGTTAAAAGCACGACGATGAATTTGTCAAAAAGTACTATGGACTGAATTATTATATCGATGAACAAGCGTGTTGCAATGATCAGTGAGAAACGGAGGAGAACAATTGAAGTATTACATTTATTAAGTGTTTCTATATTACAATGTTTTTCCTTATTTATACCGTTTATATTGGCAGAGACTTTTGACTTCAATTACTGTTTTAGATGCTTAATAGTGACGAATGTATTAAGTATACACTTCTACCATGCATATTCAATAAAAGTACTATGCGAAAACTCAACGATTTATTGCCTCCGCGTGAAAATTATTTTGAAGACCTTATACATGCATGCAAACTAAATAGAACTCAATTTCAACACGTTACGCACACGTTACGCACACGTTACGCCACACGTTACGCCTTTCAGTATATAATAATCTATAGAAAGCTGACACGTTACACACGTTACGCCTAATATATTAAAGGTAGACCTATTCTACCTTTATAAGAATGGGGCGTAACGTGTGTAACGTGTCGGTTTTCATTAATATTCTATATAAACTCAAACGTAACGTGTGGCGTAACGTGTGCGTAACGTGTGCGTAACGTGTGCGTAACGTGTCATCTATGCTTATATATTTCTTTGAGAGTAAATGTGCAATGATGGCTGCATGAAAAAAGTTAAAACTGTTCATCCAAAAACACCAGTTCGTCAAAACAGCGTGGGTACGGAGACAGGTCTTTCTGCTCCGCCTGCGGAATCTTCCGGGTAAACTCAAAGACCCTCCACCAAACAAACCAGATTCTGTTTCGCGTTCGTCAATCTGTCCGTTTCTGCCGTAGTAGAAAATTGCGTTGCTTAAAGTTGCAAAAATTGGATGTCAGAGTCCCGATTGAAAAGTTAGAACAGGAGACATAGAGGATCCAATAAGCAGTTCAAAACGGTTGTTTACTCGTACCCAGTCCCCCATTCTGTGTCTTTTGAATTCATTTTTTATGCGAGTTTCGCACGAAAACTACATCACTGGGCTTAAAGCACGAAAAATGAAAATTTTGTCCGAGACTGCGTTAAGTTCAATTTTTGGCAGAAATTTAATTAAGTTTGTGAACACAATGAGGCCTCTACTAAGACAATCGCGCGCAAAAAGTCTTGAGACAAGCAGTTTATTGGCCCTCTCCTTGCTGTAACAATGCTTCTTGCCCCCCCCCCTTGTGCAATGTTGTTAAAACGATTTGGAGGTCAGGGCTTATCAAATAATATGTTTTCAACATTGTTAATGGGGGGAGGGGGGCACGCACGTGAAAAAGATCACCAAAAT